ATCAAATTAATTATGGGACAACATAAGCAAACTAAATTAAATTGTCAACTATACCATAAGTTAATGCAATTGAGAAGACTGAAGACTTAAGAGGTAGATTATCCTTGCTGGATCCCTGATCTATAGTTGGAAAACCGTGGGTTGTTCCAAATCTGGGCGCATATACATACATAAATATATTAGCCAAGAAAAAAAATTATTTATTCCATCGCTTCGATGATTTTCACTTACAAAACCATTTGTCACTTTGACCGGTGGTAGAGTTAGAATTTTATGAATGGAGGAGCGAAATGATCAAAATTTTAATTCAGGGGGTGAAAATATTAAAAAAAAAAATTATTTACACTAAAATTTGAAAATACTCTTTAAGAAAAAAAAAATTTTCGATGAGAGGAGGCGACCGCCGCTACTGGTCCCCTAGTTCCACCACTGATTTTGGCTATTAAACCCTTAACCATAGTTTTTTTTTAAAAAAAAAAAAATTCTTTCACCTTAAAAATAAATCCAATTATCTACAGTTATTTTGCTCATAATAAAGGAATTGGAGGGAGGTTGAAGAATCATAAGCAGACAATGGTTAGTGGCGTGCACCATGACGGGTTCCCATAGAGTTAAAAAGATCAACTTATTCTCAACCAATGGTTTTTATCTTTTTCTTTTCTTCTTATTTTAATTTTATTCCCTTTAAATGAAAGCGTCGTGCTGTTGAGCGCCCTAATTTTTTCATTTGAACATCCTAAAAAGACATATATGCCCCTGCAAAAAGGAGTTACATTGGTTTTTTTTTTCAAAAAAAAAAGGTACGGCGAGAGAGGAATAAGCCACCCCTTTAAGGAGTGGCGAGAAAACCTGCGCCAACCAAAGGGTGGGTGGCACCGTCCCATCATACTATTTTAATTTAATACATAGAAAAATATACTCCTTCTGTCTCATAATTATTGTCCAGTTTTACTAAAATGAAAGATTTTATTTTTAGTCAAACTTAATTATATTTTACCTTAAACAACCGGATATACCCTACATAAGTAATTGTTTAACCACTAAGATTTTATGGATAATGTTTTTCACTAAGGACAAATGTGTAATTTGATCCATAAAAAGTCAAATTGACAATAATTTTGGGACAAAATTTTTTGGACAAAGTGGACAATAATTATGGGACGGAGGGAGTAATAACTTTTACTTTGGGTTGGAACTAATAAAGATCTGCAAAAAGGATAAAGCAAACGTGGTCAGGAGCAAAAGTAAAACCATGATTAATGTAAAGCACTAATTAAGCCACTAAGTATGATGCTCTGATCCTGCCCATTTTTGTTGGGTGATAAGATTAACTTTGGTCATGTTAATGAAATTCTACAAAGGCCAAATTAAAATTAAACCTTACATTTTTTGCTGTTCTTAAAATTTTCAGTTAAGATTATGTAATTTAAGAATTGCCAGTTACCTTATTATGTAGAATTTAGATATTTTGCCGATGTTGGACACGAACTATATGAAAAAAGGGTGTTGATAAATTGTATATTGAGATCAACTTTTTCTTAAATATCAACATTACCCTTATATTTAATTTTTTTACATTTTATTAATTTATTAAATCTATTTTATTTTCTCTTAAATTACTCAACACTTCTTTACAACTCCTTTACCACCGCCGCTATATCTTTCATCAGAACTTTTGGTTTTGCCTGCTGGTTTTCATCAGTGCCAAATTCAATAAAGGAAATGCAGAAAACAAATAAATAAAAAATTTATGGCAATCAATCCGATTCAAAAAAAAAAAAATTAAATTAAATTGATTTATTTGATTAAAACCCCAATGTTTTCCCATCTAATGGTTAAATTTATTTGGTCTATCCCATAATCTAAAATCCCTCTAATTTTCACATTTGGCACCTCTTTCATTCTTCTTGGTCCACATCAAATTGTTTTTTCAAGGAATAAGCGGCAGCATCTTCAATTTTATGAGACTTTGTAGCGATAAATCTGGTATCATGACTGCAAATTGTGCTTTGTTTGTATTTTAAGACTTATGAATTATTTTTTCTTAAGGAAATGAATTAATTTTGAAAAGAGAAATAAGTTCGAAATGGTAGGTTCCCAGATTTATAGACGTGATGATATAAATTTTCATCTCATTGGTAAAAATTGGCAAGAAAGTTAAGAAATGTAAAAATTATTTAAAAGGATTTTATTGATATTTGAGAAAATTTGCTCTCAATTTCTTTTAAAAAATTGCTCTCAATTTATCAATTGTAAAAAAAAAAAAAAGTAGCATATCCTTTTTTTTTTTTGGTAGCATATCCTAATTTAATTTGACTATTCACATGCACTTACACTCTTACAGTACTTGAAAAAGAAGTTTAAAATCTCAAAAGATTAAGAACAGTTAGAAATGTCTTGTTAATACATAGTTATAAATGTTGGTTCTCTTGCACAGATAGAATTCCTAAAATATCAATAATACATGGAGTGACTAAGTACAATGAACATATATAGTGACAAATGAAAAGACAAATACACCATCCACTTATTAAACATGTCTATTTATTAATTAAGGGCAAAAAAATAATTTCGGGGAAAAAAAAATAAAACTTCAACCAGAAAATAGCAAAAAACTAGGGGCCATGATTAATTCACATTTACTATATTTTGTCACTATTTTCATTCACTATATATCTCATTTTCCTTCCTAAAATCTCAAAAAATTAAAACAAACGAGAATACCATAAGTAACATAAAAATATAGTGACTATTCTGCTAACCCTTAGTAAAATAACCTATTGATGAATAAGATTAATTTAAGCCATAGTATATATATGTTATTTATACGTTGGACTTCTAGGGCACACCGGGCAGCTTCAATTTTTAACAAAGCCCATAATGATGGCATCATTCATTCATAATCACCTCCATCGTCGAAATAATCCGCTTGATGCATGTACAAGTATTTGTACACCGCCGCCCCCAAAAAAAAAGAAGGAAAAAATAGTGAGGTTGTTAGTACAAATTGCTTTTGTTAAGATTATAACCACAGCTGTTTCATGATCAAAGTTGACTTTTTACATTATTAGTAAAATAAGCCGAGTTCTTACGTAATTTCCACATTTTTGTCTTTCCTTCATTGGTGTCTTCGATGAATGCAACTAATTTATCAGTATTTAATTAAAGTTGGTCAGAATTGCTTGTATAGGTTTTTTCTGGGTGATTATCATTTTTGGTGTATACACATCCTGTAACACTATTTAAAAATTTAACTCGAACCCTTTAACATTATCCTATCATGAGATAGGAGGAGTGTATGAATCGTAATTAATTCCTGATAACTATGACAATGTAGGTAATTAATTAGCTGATTAAGTTGGCAATCTTATCAAATTTGCTACTTTCGTAGTTTGTTTTCTATTCTTTCTCCTCAAATTGATTGTATATATCCCCAACAGAACATACTCAAGTAATCACTTTTATTTTTCGCTATAAATCAACCATGAGCATTATTATTAGATTTTTACGGCTTTATTGAAGGTGTTCATCGGTTTCACAGGTATAGTCCAAGAAGATTAAGTCATAGTAGATCTAATTATTATTAGGTTTTCGATTTGGGGGTTTCAACCGAAGGTTAGTGTTGTATCCTTGACCGGATTAAAAGCCTAACACGTGGTACAATCGTTATTTTATGAAGTAGATCAATATATATTTATCCATATAATGAAACACATTAATAGTATTGTGATTGTTTGTAAGTTGTATTTTTTATGTCTGTATGTTACTTTTATCTATCGCTGCTAGACGTTTTCTAACAAATTAATGAATTCATCTTTATTTCAAAAAAATATGAGCATTATTGAAAAAAGAAAAGAGGATAAATCCCACATAATGGGTTGGAGGATAGCCGCCAATTTATATTTGGGAAAAGGGAAAAAGTTAATAATAAGTGCACAAACGCCCACTGACTAACCATTTGTTTATGTTGTATTTATATTTTTGTAAATAACTTCAAATGCATAATAGTATCAGTACTTCTTATCATCAATATTCCCATTTGATTGACTGAATAACCCATTCTAGGTATCAATATTTCTCTATTTTATTGACGATTATTATCATTTGATTGTCATTATTATTATTGTTTTCAAATCTTTTTTGTTCCTTGTTTCAAAAAAGTTGGTGTTATTTAGCTTCACATGGGCTGGGAGGGTTACATCGAGGAGGTTATCCCGTGGCTACAACATGATATAATCGGGGTAGCATATTTAAGAAATGTGCTAATCAGCCATTAACTTTCTTCTTTATAACCAAAAAAAAAAATTCCAAATTCACTGTCATCCTAACTTGTCACCAAAAAGAAAAGCTCGTTTTTGTGTTTGAGTTGGTGTTCATCATCATAGTTTAAAAAAAAAGGCTAAAAAGATTGCCATGTCATGAGATATAGATGACACTAATAAACCGCGAGAAAGAAAGATAACTTCTATGGCAAACAAAACCAAAATTTAGTCAACTACTATTTCCCAAGTAACTCGTGAAAACGTTGGGCGAACAGTTTGACTTTTTCCATTTTCCCCTAATCTTTTTATTTTAGTACTATTACCGTATTACGCAGCAAAAAATTAAAATTTCATCAATTTCTTCTGTTTTCTTTCCCTTTCTTTTCTGTAGACGGCGCCTGATTAAGTTTCAAAGCACGTCAGCCACTTTATATAATAATTATTATTATCAAAACACAAATTCAGCTTCCAGAAACAGACAACAAGAAATCCCACTTCTGGATTCTGTTTTCTCCATTTCCTCCCCTGTTTGATACTGTTTCTTTTGTTCATTTTCTTTATTGTTTTTGGTGGGTTGTTATAAAACCTTAAATTCATCGCCCAGAAAGTAATTTCTACTAGTACAAGCAAAAAGTTGGGTTTTTTTTTTCCCCTTTTTCGTGTGAATGCATTTTTGGATTTTTGTTTCCAGATGCAATTAAAGGAGAATTAAGCTCTGATTGAGTAAAAATTTGGGGGATGAAATTCTGCAAGAAGTACGAGGAATACATGCAAGTGCAACCCAGGAAGGATAAGCTTCCTCGGGTTGGCTTCAAGAAACTCAAGAAGATACTGAAACGGTGCCGCAGAGATGTTGTTCATGTTCAATCCCGTGGTGATGATGCTGCTAACAATGAAGTTCTTGTTGATCATCATCATTTTTCAGTTGATGCTACTGAATCTTCCTGCGCCGACTCCTCCTGTCCAGGTCTCTGCTGAATTTCTGTTCTGTTTTTTCTCCCCTGAATACTGTGACTTGTATCTGTTTGGATGAAGTTTTGATTTGGATATTTCATGTTAAGGAGATACAGTTAACGGGATTGCTAAAATGTGAAAAGGTTTTACCTTTAAGAATGTATAACACATAAAATTTGATTCGTGTACACCTAAACTTTTCCGGGTTGAATTGGATCCATTTTGGTGAAAGTTTTGAAATTTTGGTTTTGTTGCTAATGAAACACTGGTCCTAGAAGATTTTGATTTGTTTTTGTGCTTTCGCATGAAATAGCCATCATTTTGTACTGACAATTTTCTTAGATCTTTGCATTCTCAGTTGGAAATGGTCTACCTTATGCATATTTTACTTTCTAATGTCGAGACTCATTTTCTTGTTGGCTTGGTGCATGATTCATCGCAGGGGCTTGTCCCTCATCTGAAATGATTAGCAAGCTTCAAGCTTTATATTTCTAAAAGTTCGGCTTCTGTATGTATAAATGTAATTATGGTACTAATCAGAGTCAATTTTGAAGAGACTTTTTGTGAACTGCAGTATGTGATGGCACCTTTTTTCCTTCTCTCATGAAGGAAATGTCTGAAGTTGTTGGCTTCTTCAATGAACATGCGCAGAGATTGCTTGAGCTGCATCTGTCGTCAGGTTTTCGCAAATGCTTTATTTGGTTAAAAGAGAAACTGTCAGGCAACCATGTTGCCTTGGTTCAAGAAGGCAAGGACTTGGTGAATTATGCACTGATAAATGCCATTGCCATGCGTAAGATACTTAAGAAATATGATAAGGTATCCCTTGTGGTTATTCCATTATCAATTGTCTTTTAGCCAAATATATTGATATACACACATTTCTTTTGTTTACCCCTGCAGATTCACTACTCCAAACAAGGCCAAGTCTTCAAATCTCAAGCTCACAGCATGCACATCGAGATTCTCCAGTCACCTTGGCTGTGCGAGCTTATGGCGTTTCACATAAACTTGAGAACCATAAAGCCTGATTCATCAAGGGCTCCTGCATTATTCGAGGGATGCTCACTTACATACAAAGATGGGAAGCCTTTGCTTTCTTGTGAACTCTTTGATTCAGTCAAGGTGGAAATCGATTTGACCTGTTCTATATGCCTGGTTAGTGTCTAATCCCTGTTGATGTGGATATCTGTTTGCATGAATCTATTGGTTTCTTTTGTATCTTGTCACACTTAGCGTAATTCTGCTGGCAAAACTGTGCCAAAAAATTATCATGAAACTGAACTTTAGTCTCTTTCGCTGAATACTAACAAAAGAATCACTCCATTGGATCCAAAATGATTTGCTCATATTTAAAACCTCCATGGCCTTAGCAGCTACGCTTAAAGGTATTGATGTTAAACTAGAGCATATAGAGATGAGGAGGTCATCGGTTTATTGATATTGTGTTCCCTAATTTACTAATTTTTCAGCTGATGCTATTATATAACATTGTCCCAAGCTAACAGTGTGGAGATTGATTGCTTATTTTGAACTTTATGGCTAGTGGTCTGGTTAAGTTGTTTGATATAGAAGTTTCAGAGAGGTCCCTTCTTTTTTATGTTTCAGAGAGTTGGTTTATGCACTGTGCTGTCGCATCGTTCTATTTTGTAGTAGCCTGCATTGCTAAATGTCTTTCCTCCTACAGGATACAGTCTTTGATCCAGTATCTTTGACATGTGGACACATCTTTTGTTACATGTGTGCTTGTAAAACCGCATCAGTGACCATCGTCGATGGGTTAAAGGCATCTAGTCCGAAGAAAAAGTGTCCCCTTTGCCGAGAGGTATAAGGTTCAACTCTTCTGTTTGTATTCGGCCTGTCTCTGTATGCATTCACTTCTCCTCTTGTCCTAAGCTCTCTATACCTGAATTTCATTTATGAGTGGGAAGAAAATGTTTTATAATGACGGGTCAATAGGATGTTATCCATGATATTGAATTAAAGAAAATGAAATTGCAGGATGGTGTTTTCGAGGGTGCTGTTCACATGGAGGAGCTAAACATTCTATTAAGTCAAAGGTATGAATTTCATTACCGAGTGAACTTTTTCCCTGTTTTGAATGTTTATTAGTTGCTGTTACATAAAGCAGAATTTGAGTTCATTCATTTAGAATTTAAGGATATACATACTAGATTAAGTATTTATTTGAACTTGACATCATGTACGTGAGCAGTTGTCCAGAGTACTGGAAAGAGCGACTCCAGACTGAAAGAATAGAAAGAGTTAAGCAGGCAAAGGAGCACTGGGAGTCGCAATGTCGAGCTTTCATGGGGATGTAAAAGGAAACACACCTTTCATTTTCAACATCTCCGGTTTTCTTGTAAATGATCAGTTTCCGTCTCTACTTCAGATGACTATATCGATTTCGCAAATGTCTTTTTACTCCAAATGTGAAGCAGATGTGTATTCTCTTTTGAAGGTTTGCCACTTGCTTGTAGGATTCACACAAGTTTAAAACTTACACTGCGTTTGTCAACTCGTATACCATTCAGAACGTGCTCCCCATTATTATTAGTTTTGAAAATTTACCTGTACTCTCAACCTTGAGCAGATCATAATTACATTGGTTCTTTAGTTAGCAATTTAACTGTGAATCTCATTCTGGAAAATGGAAGGCACAAATCGGGAAAAAAGAAAAGCGAGCCAAGGAAGCATGAAAACTAGAATAAAACTGTGCAACTTCCTTCCATGATTGCATACATCCCAGCAAATATGGGCAGAATAGTATTTCTCAGTACAAGTTGTAATCAAACTTACATGCATCCTACACAAAAAAAGCAGGTTAAAAACCAGCTGAAGACGACTCAATAGATTTCGTCATCATTGTAGAGAATAAATGAAATAGAGTAGGCATTGAAACAGTTTCTGATATATAATGTAAATCCCTATGTTGATCTTCGGGTGCCAGAAAAATATGCTCTGCATCAAGATCATCCAGCAACAAGGGTTGTACCAAAATGCATCAGCAACTGCTTCACGGTGCAAAAAATATCAGAGAAACCAACTGGAATCTGTTGCACCATATTCCATTCGTCTTACTCTCTAGTCCCCATCTTAAGCACCAACAATTAGAGGTTTTTTATCTTTACACAAGTGATACCGTTTGCACAAGCTCATTAGTGTTGCTACTGAATGCTGCATCTTGTTCAGCTTTGTATCCATAAACATGCTCTGAAACGGAAGAAGCTTATCAGATAACAAGTATTACCAGAGCAAATCACAACAACAACAACATATCAGAGCAAATCACAAGTCCACAAAAACCATTTGAACTTCCTAACCTGGTAGTCATCTCCATATTCATCAATAAGACGGCCAATGTAAACACGCTGCATCGTAGTTAGAGGTTGTGGTGGAGCAGTTTTTCCATCAGCTCGCTTCTTCCCAAGAGCAGACTTCAAATCTAGGAAAATGACATGCTTAAGATGTCAACACGCCTTCATATATACAATGCCCATGCAAATTCAAACCTATAATGGACTTAATGATAAACCATAGTTGTAACTATTACACCGATAACTGCACAAAAGTAGCTACACGCAAGGTTTTTTGATGGGGGTGGAAGCATGAAAAGAAGGAACACCATGTACAAGCACCATGAAAAGAAGCATGTTTATCACCATGAACAAAGGCAATGGTTTTTAGACAAAAACCAATTAAAACCATAACACAAGCACTCAGCCGTGAAAGAGAACTCGCAGTTCTGAAATTAATTATCAAATATCAATAAAACTACCTCTCCGTAAACGTATAACAACCCTATTTATAGTTAAACCCCAAACTTAAAAAAGGAAAATATCTAAAAAGACTTGAAAATTCAGTAAAATACTAAAACCTCCCTAAACTAAAATTTCCTAATAATTCTTAAACCCTAGTTCTTATTTTCTCCTGCATCATTTTTGCTCTTTTAAAAAATGAGTTTGACATGGTAAACCTTTATCAAACGGGAGCTTACTTTCTGATGATAAATTATTTAAACTAGGAGTATAAGATAAGAGCCCATCCTGTTGAAGACGGAACATCATTCAAAAGCAAACCTTTGAAGAGAGGACATTATGATAAACTTTGGCGATCAATGAGCGAATATGAAGGGAATTCGTAATACAACTAAAACCTTAAAAAAAAAAAGAAACACAGGTACATTAGCGGACACGAAGATGACTTGTTAATTTCAAGGGTAACACAAACACATATCATAGAGAAAAGTGTTGGGTTTGTCTCATCAAAATAACACTTGAAGATGCTCAAAACTATTGACTCGTAAACACAAGCGACAACTTAATTGCCACCTTTACTGTAATACACAACTCGAGAGCTAAATCAATCCAGACACCATATAACCATTTATTCCTTTTTTTGGGACAACCGGGGAAAGCCATTTGTGATCAAATCTTTAAAAGATGATTTATTCAATAACCATCAATAAACATCAGAACAGAAATTCTTTCTCGAAGTTGCCAATGATTCTTCTACAGAGTGCAAAAACAACTAAAAGTATAACAACCTTCACACAAAGTGGGAAAAGAAAAAACCTCGATAATGCAAAAATCCTTCTAACAAACGCACACGCCACCGGTCACTCACGCAGAACAATTCACCAAGATTTAAATCTTTCCAAAAAGAAGAAATAAAAAAAGGGTAAAATTTACAACATACCATCCTCCTCGAGCTCGCTGCCGGAACTTAAATCCGGGTCCTCGACATCATCGTCGGAATCAGGAGGCGGCGGGACCTGGAGAGAATCTTTTTCTACGATGTGAGAGGTGCGGTGGCTAACGCCGAGCAAATTAGGGTTCGAAACGACGCCGAAGGACTTGTAATTGCGGATGACGCTGGCTTGATCGTCCCAATTGGCGTCGGGATCAATTAGGGAGCGGAATTTGGGCGGGACATTGAATGCGGGCTTGAAGACCCGAGGATTCTTCTTGGGCAACCCGACTTGCACCTTCGGCCTCGACCGCTTGTACTTCCTTCTTGACCCTCCCATTTTCGCTGCTTCACTTCTGGGTAGAAAGGTTTAGGGTTTATGCGGCAAGCGGAGGCGCTCCTTCCTTCTTTGTGGTTTTCCAAGGGTTTAAGAAGACTGTGACGACGTCGTACGGTCTTCTGTGAATTTTGGTGTTATTAGGTCAAACCGTTCCAGTTAAATTTTGAGTTTGTTTTATTCTGTCCCACAAAAGTATTACTCGCGCTGCAGTATGTAAACTGTAATGTAAAATAAAATCACAATAGAGTGAATATTTTTTATTTTTGGTCAAACACAACCAAATTTTGGTAAAAGCTTCCAAACACACCCCGCACACATTATTGGTGTTACCGGCGCAAGGAGAGAAAATTTTATTTATCCCCTTCACTATAGCTCCCCAATTCAAATATTATCGTCAATTTCAAAAGGCTCAACATATCCATGAGTTCTTTAGGAATAGACCTAGCTATAATCGAACCAAATTTTAAGTGAAAAGTCTCGAATTTCGAGAATCATCTTTTTTTATGGTTCAATAAAGAAAATTTTTCTGTTTTATCATAAAGTTTCTAACCGACAAAGATCAAGTAGAGTTTCACTAGAAAGTCACTCAAATTCAGAGAAATTTTATGTTGTGAGCTTCACTTTGATGCTCATCCATTTGATTATTCTATTTCGCCAGATATCCTTTAAATTGATCGATTGCAGTTTCGGTCCAACTTTGAAGGAATTTCTTCTGTATATTTTTCGATAACCATACCGCTTTATTCTCACCACCGCTTGTGCCACCAGATTTTTGTCTTCGTTTTCTGTGTAGTCTGCCTATGCAGTGTGTTGTACATTGGGAATACGGGAGAAAAAGGTTTTAGTTAAATTTTTTTTTTACCTCAATGGTACATGTGTAACTTCACTCATAAACGCCAAATCGGACAATAATCTTGAGATAATTTTTTTTTTGACAAAGTGAAAAATAATTTCAGAACGAATGGAGTAATAATAAACGAAAAAATTTTCAGCACGACTAATTCTATTAGTTTTGGTAGGTTAAGTAGACACGAGGCTATTTTTTGCGTGCAAGAGTGACTTGCACGTGATTCTTCAATCTATTACTCTCTCAGTTTCAGAAAAATATTTTACTCATTATCTCTTTTATTTTATTCAAATTCCATGAAAGCCCCAATATAGGGAATATTGTATTACTTAATTCCTCGTATTTATTACTCTCTCAGTCTTAAAAAAATATTTTATATTGAGTCTGAAAATTTGTACTACTTTTAGTATACAAAACTCAATATATACTACTCCCTCCGTCCCATAATTATTGTTCACTTTACCCAAAAAATTTTGTCCAATTTGACTTTTTATAGATCAAGTTACACATTTGTCCTTAGTAAAAAACATTACCCATAAAATCTTAGTGGTTAAATAATTACTTATGTAGGGGTATATCCGGTTGTTTAAGGTAAAATATAATTAAGTTTGACCAAAAATAAAATCTTTTATTTTAGTAAAACTGGACAATAATTATGGGACAGAGGGAGTATTTTTTTTTAAGGACAAAAGGAGTAAAATTTTACTGTATGCTTTTCTGGAGTGATCGAAGAGGGGGAAAAAAACCTACTCTTAAGAACTTATTAAACTGCTGCTGGATTATTGGGCTCCCTCTTATGTTAAAAGCCCAAATTAAAGGCTAGCTTTTTGGTCCAAATTTTGAGTCCACTTTGTGGTTAAAAGACAGCCGAATTGGGCATGTCATTTTTACTGGAAAACACGTGTAACGTCCTTGACTAAAAATGATTATTATTGATGGATAAAAGGTAGCTTCCCGTCACCGGAATAGTGACGGATCGGCTGGAAAAACAGAGAAAGTAAACTATGGGAGGAAAAGGAAAGAAATACACTTCACACAATTTTTATGACTTAATGATATCACTCATACAATATTATTCTATTATATATAGTTAAAAATAGAGGTGTGCACGGTCTGGGTGGTGTGGTTTTTAGCCTAAATCGTAAATCAAACCGTTAGAATGGTTTGGAAAATTTTGAATCCAAAACCAAACCGGTCCACATTTAAAAACCGGACAAATCAATCCGTAATCAACGGTTTGGTTTTTACGGTTTCACGATTTTGTTCTTACTTTGCTTTTTTTTTTTTTGGAATTTAGTTTTTATTTTTTTAGGCCAAAATTTAGACAAAAACAAATACTTTTCAATTCAACACATGAAAAAATAAAGGTCCACAACTTTGAATCTCTTAGGGTTCTTAGTTAGTTTAGGTAGATTGTGGTTATATAGTTTAAAAAATAAGAATTCCAATAGTTACGCTTTAACTTTTGTAAGTCCAAAAAAATACTTTTAAGAAAGGAAAAAAACGTTGGAAAAGCTTTTGAGAGACAACAAAAAGACATATTGAAAAAAGGGAAAAGAAGCAGGAGGAGAGCTTTTAAATCCAAAATAAAAATATAAAAAAAGGTAGAAAAAAAATCTAAGAAGAGAGGCTTAAAGAAATCGAAACTAAGAGCTACGACTAAACATGATCTTAAGTTAACCAATTCTACTATGTCACAACTTGTAACTAATACAACAGATTTCTACATATATAGAAATTTTATTATATATATAATAAGTACTATAAATGGTCTGGTCCGGTTTAGCCAACGGATTTTGAACATGAAACCGTGAAGCAAATCATTCCTTCCGGTTTCTAAATTTTGAAACCGCCGGTTTTAAAATAGAGATTCGAAACCAATCCAAAAATCAAACGCGGTCCGGATTGACCGATTTGAACCAATCCGTGCACACCCCTAACTAAAAGACAAACAAACTCCACTGGATCACATGCACTCCAGCCCGAACAGCATGTGCATGGAAGCATTCAATGTAGTACCCGTTCTCGCGCTGCACCAAACTGCTACTTTTTTCAAATGTCACTACCGCCTTAATTTTGGCGAGCATGACATTCCCTCCCCCATAAACCAATACTTGACCTCAAGTATGAAATCCTTGGAACTGACCTTTAATGAATGAGCAATCCATGGAGCATCCTCTACATCAAGACCTTTCCACCGGATCAACCATTGATCAACTTGTTGGTTGCCTCTCCACACAAAACGCCTTTGCAGTACTTGTTCCGGTTCCAACACACAAGATTCAGGATTGTCAATATCAGGCAACACAGTAATAGTGGTTGGTGCTGGTCCATGATGAAGCTTGAGTAAAGAGACATGGAAGACTGAATGAATTTTAGTTCCCAAAGGTAGTTCCAGCTTATAAGCCACACTCCCCACTTTTTCTAACTCTTTGAAAGGACCAGAGTATCTCAGCCCCATCTTCAAGCAGTGTTTGTTCACAATCAGTTGTTGTTTGTAAGGTTACAACCTCACATACACCAAATCCCCCACCTAAAAAGCTCTTTGAGTTCTGAGTTTGTCAGTATAAAACTTCATTCTTTCCTATGCCTTAACCAATATTTCCTTAAACGTTGCCATGATAATCTGTTGTTGCTGCAACATATCACCAGCTGCTGGAATTATCACATCAGGGTAGCTTCCCAGTGGAATTCCAGCAGGTTGATAACCATACAAGGCCTGGTAGGGTGTCATCTTGGACCTTGGAATGTAGTGTTGTACCACCACTCGGCCAGTGCAACCCATTTAGACCAAGCATAGGGAGTAGATTGACAAAAGCTTCTCAAATACCCTTCCAAACATTGGTTCACCCTTTTTGTCTGACCATCAGACTGAGGATGATAAGCAGTGCTCAGATTCAATTGAACCCCCCATGGTCTTGAATAAGGTTTGCCAGAAGTGACTAGTGAAGATCTTATCTCTAACTGTCACTATAGACTCTGGTAAGCCATGCAACCTATAGATTTCCTGCATAAACTTATCAGCAACATCCTTTGTAGTGAAAGGGTGTTTAAGAGGAATGAAGTGACCATATTTAGTCAACATATCCACCACCAACAATAGACAATCAAACCCTTCCTCAGATAGAGGTAATTCTTCAATAAAATCCATGGAAATACCTTTCCAAGCCTGTTGAGGAATAGCCAAAGGTTGCAACAGTCCTGGATAATGCACACGTTCAACCTTACTAGCTTGGCATATGGAACACCTTGCGACAAACTGCTCTACATCCAACTTCATGTTCTTCCAAGGGAATAAAGATCTGATCCTTTGGTATGTAGCCTTTTGACCAGAATGACCACCTAAACTTGATGAATGAAAGTAGTCAACAGTAAGTTCCTTATCTCACCCTCGTATCCTACATACATATTCCCATCCACCTTTAGCAATCCACCCACATATTGCCACTCTAGGTTATTGGCACTATCAAGAGTAGTACCCAAAATCATCTCCTCAGCTTCCACATCTCCCACATAACTACTAGCTAGTTGTTAAGGCCAAACAGGTTGAACTGTGGTTACTGCATTCAAGGAATCATTCACCATTCCCATGTTTTTTGACAAAGCATCAGCAGCCATATTATCTTTGCCTTTCGTGTATTGGATTTCATAATCAAATTCCAACAACTTGACTAACCACTTCTGTTGTAGAGGAGTAGTAATCTTTTGCTCCAATAGGTATTTAAGAGCCTAATGATCAGCTTTAATTATAAAATGATTCCCTTGGAGATAATGTTTCCACTTTGTAATAGCCATAACCAAAGCCAACAGCTCCTTTTGATAAGTAGATAAAGACTTGTTTTTCTCACAGAAAGCCTTGCTCAAATAATCTAAAGGTTGACCTTGTTGCATCAACACCGCCTCCCATACCATCCCCACAAGCATCAGTTTCCACAACAAAAGGCTAAGAAATATCAGGAAGCCTTAAAACAGGTGCAGTAGTTAGAACTTGTTTTAAATGCTAAAAAGATATCTCAGCTTTCTCATTCCACTTAAACTCCCTTTTTCTTAACAGAAAGATAAGAGGTTTACTTATTAACCCAAAACCTTTAATAAATCTTCTGTAATAGCTTGTCAACCCCACGAAACCCCTTAACTCTTTAATTGTTTTTGG